ATATAATTGAAATTACTAAAATAAAGGAGAGACAGATAAAAAGGAGGAAAACACTATAATGTCAGAAAACTTTCACATTTACTAAAAAAATATTTGACTGTGGGGATCATAATAAATTACAGTTAACATTGAAAAGAATGGGAATTTCAGAATGCTTAAGAAAACCTACACTTAGACCAAGACACTGTCATCCAAACAAAGCAAGGAATACTGTATCGTTTAAAATCAAGAAAAGTGTGAGTCTGGGCTGTATGCTTTTTCCACATCTATTCAATCTGTATGCTGAAGAAATTCTTTAAGAAGCTTGAATTTATGAAGAAGAATGTGGCATAAGGCTGAATGAAGATTTATCAACAACCTGTATTATGCAGACAACACAACCTTGCTTGCTGAAAGAGAGGCGTACTTAAGGCGCTTGCTAAAGATGATCAAGAACTGTAGCCTTAAATAAGGAATACATCTCAACATCAAGGAAACAAGAATCCTTACCAATAGGCCAATCAATAGGCAAAATCACAATAGATGGAGACAAGACTGTAATTGTCAATGATGCCAACTTACTTGAATCTACAATGAACATCCTTTGTAGGAGCAGTCAGGAGTTCAGCAGACATAAAGCCTCTCCAAAATCCCAAAGAGCAATGATGTCAGATTAAAGACTGAAGTATGCCTGATTCAATCAATGATCTTTCCAATTATCTTTCTAACATCTGAGTGTTGAATAATGAATGACAGAAGAATCGATGTCTCTGTGTTGTGACATTGGACAATATCCCTTAGACTTGCAAAAGAACAAGCAGGCATGTCTTAGAGAAGGTACAACCAGAGTGCTCTGTGTAGGCAGAGAGTGTGAAGCTTCCTTTTTCATACCTTGAAGATGTTATTAGGAAAGACTATTCCTTGAGGAGGGACATGCTTGGACAGGTGGAAGATCAGCAAAAAGATAGGAAGACTCTGAGCAGAAGGGACTGATATAAGTGACTGTGGCAATGGACTCAAGTGTGTCAGGAATAAGGATGGCACATGATAGGACAGGGTTCAGATCTGTTGTTCAGAGAGTTGCTATGAGTCTTATGCAACTCGATGGCACCTAACACAACCACCACCACCACCACCACCACCAACACCACATATCTAGGAATTTTAATAAGCTCTAAATATAATAAATATTCTGGCATCACAATAAAAACGCCAAAAGTAAAATACAAGGAGAAAATCTCCAAAGCAGAAAAATAATTGGACATTTACAAAAAAATGCAAAGATCAAAACCTAACTTTGCTTAGCTGCTAACCAAAGCCTGAAGGTTCAAAGCCATCAACCTCTCTAGGGGAGAAAGATGTGTAAATCTGCTTCCATCATGATGCACAGCCTGGGAAACCCCATGGGAAAGTTCTAATCTTTCCTCAGGGTCACTGTGAGCTAGAAACAAACTCGATGGCCATGAGGTTGATTCAAATTTTTTTAAAAAAAGTTAGGTAACGTGCAAATTGACCAAAGAAAGAGTTGTCAAACAAGAATTCTTTATGAACTAAAGTTATCTTTCAAAAATTATTATTTACAGTCTCAAAATATCCACTAAAAAAAGGAAGTAACTTTCAGCTAGAGAAACCTAGCAGAAATTAACATCATCAGCAAGGCAGAAAAAATTAACGTCATGTACCTCTTGACAGGATTCCATGAAATAAATATATAAACCATATTATTCCTTCTGTGACTAAATTAGAATTCGCACTGAAAGGTGTAACTTCCACCTAATCATGAAGTAACAAGAACAAGAGTTCCAAATTAAGCATAATAAGTGTAATGAATGGATCCCGGCCCAAAGTATATTAGTGAAACAATTGGCAGTTTTTACAAGATCACTGTAGAGATAACAATATTACATCAATGTTAATGTCCTTGTTTATATAGAATATACTATAGTTATGTAGGAACTACCCCTTTAAAATAAATACACAATAAAATAGATCCACTATTCACTTAATGTTAAATGTTTCATAAAAAAATCTATACAGAAAGGAAAGAGAAAGTAACTGTAATCTAGCAGGTATGAGAAAATGCTTTTTAACATCTAGGAAGACAACATAGGAAATTTCTCATATTATTTTTCCAGTATTTCTTACATCTGAAATATTGTCTAAATCATAAATTTTAAAATTCACTTATTTACACAAAGGAACCCTACTGGCATAGTTTATAATCTATCAGACTGGTAATCAAAAGGCTGGTGGTTGGAACCCACCAGTTACTATGAAGGAGAGATGGGCAGTCTCCCCATGCAAGTGTTTTCATACTCAGAAACCTGATGGAGGGTCGCCCTGAGTCAAGCTGACTCCACAGCAGTTGATTTTGTGGCGATACTTCATATATTAAGAAAACCTACTGAATACCACTTACTTGCATGATCTGCTTATAGTTAATCAACACTTAGTTGCTTTTACTGGAAAAGTGAGACTCACATGGTTTCTTCATCAATGTCATTTTCTTCTGTGTTACTTGTTGCTGTTGAACTGGCTGAGGAACTACTGCCATCAAGGTGATTTACTTCATCTTCACCAACAAGATCCAGATCCAGATCTCCATCAGAAAGTTCATGCTAGATAAGAGGGAAGGATAAAGGTTAAATATCGACCTTAATTTGATTATTTCATTCAGTCCCATTAAATAGCAGGCACCAAGGAATAATTAAAATCATCAGAGTTATCAGCCCCTGTATGTAGGCTGCTGTGGCTTGTTTAGGAAAAACCCCAGCACTGCCCCAATTTATGACTGCCATTTTCACCTGGGTCTTCAAAGAGGCCAGAAATGCATCCATATCCTTCTCTAGCTACCATTACTGTGCCTCAGAACAGCATCTCAAATATTACTCAAGTCCTGTGTGATCATAATTACCCTCCAATTCCTTTTACCTAATTAGTTTTAGCAATACCCTTTAACCTTGATAGCTCAAATTTCACACCTAAAATTTAAGAACTGCTACCAAAAAAAATCCTCATTTGTCTATGAATCCATTTTTCCTTAAACAATTATAGCCACTATTCCTCTTCTTGAATGCTTATTCTGGTTTTTCTTTAGCTAGAACAAAATACAGCAATTTCTCAAGTCATAAATACTAATATCCACACGTGCAATGGTAAACTCCCACTAATTCCAGAAAAGAGAAGTAGAACACACACACACACAAATCTGCAAAATTTAGTTTCTAGAATGTACATCATGAAAATCAGTAGGTTTTTTTTAATGATGAATCAACTGTTAAGACTCTTAAAACACATTTACTGAAAAAAAAAAAACCAAAACAAACAAACAAAAAACCCCACCCAAAACCAAAACAAAACTCAACCAAACAAAATCACCCAAAAAAATTCACTCGTCTTCTGACTTGTAAGCATTAATATTTACAGAAACTCAATGGACTAGATTTTTAGGACTTGATTCTCTTCTACATTACGTTGTCATTTTTACTTATTACACATGAATTAAATAAAATCTAAGCCAGGCCTAATTATTACATGATAATCTTCATTCTGAATCTTTTCTTCATCTTCTTCCTCTTCTTTGGCCTCTCGTGCAGAAGCTGTGGCTGGACAACCTTCAAGAAGTAAGTCAGAACTTGACCCAGACTTCTTGGCCCGTGTCTCAGGGCTATCGTCATTTTGGGGACTGAGATGATTATCTGGTGGTGACAAATCTCTTGATTTCTGAGTTCGAGACAGTTCAATGGTCAGTCTCTTTTAAAATAAGAACAGCACAAATTAGTAATTGTGGTAAAGAGTACTTAAATGGCACAGTAAAAACGTTTAAGTAAAAAAAAAAAAAAAAAAGTACACAGATCTTCCTAAAAGAATTTCTCAAATTTTCTCTCTCATCCCCTTCTATCTTCTGCTTATAGAAATATCTGTGCAAAGGATAACCACCCAGTTGCCTGAGTAGACTACAACTCATGGACACACCATATGTGTCAGAAGAGGACTGTGTCCCATGGGATTTTTTTAACTGATTTTCAAAAGTATATGTTCAGGCCTTTCTTCAAAGACATCTCATTTTCACCAATGTAAAATGAAAATTTATTAACTAATCCTTCTCAATGTTCAAATGAAAAATAATCGAAGTTCAACATGGAGCATCCTAGAATTGTTTTATGACACAGGATCCTCTAAATACAAGTCAACTGGGAGAAGACAAATACTCAAGTCACCAAGGGAAACATGAAGAGTTTATGGTGAACTAGAGTGGCACTATTCGATATGTTATGCTACACAGCGAGAAAAAAGTCTGTATCTGTGATGCCTAACATGGAAGCCACTACTAGTGGCTGGGGAGCTCTGGTGGCCCAGTGGATAAAGAGTTGGGCTGGAAACCCCAAGGTTGTTGTTGTTAGGTGCTGTCAAGTATGACACATAGCGATGCTATGAACAACAGACCTGAACCCTCTCCTAGCCTGTGCCATCTTTCTAACTTTTGATGCACGTGAGCGGACTGCTTCCATCCATCTTGTTGAGGATCATTCTCTCCTTCAATGACTCTCCACCTTTCCAGGCATGATGATCCTTTCCAAGGAATAGCCTCTCCTAACAATATGCCCAAGTATGAGAGACGAAGCTTCGCCATATTTACCTCCAAGGACCAACCTGACTGCACTTATAAAAAAACACGTGTTTGTTGTCTAGTAGTCCATGGATAATCAGGTAGACAAGTTTGAATCTACTGAGTGAAAAGATGGGCAATCTCCTGTGCTATTTCCAGCCCCTGAAAACCCACGGAAGGGTCAGCTATGAGTCACTTCTGACTTAACAGCACATAATTGCATGGAGCCGTGCAAGTGAGAAATGTAATTTTTATTTTCATTTATTTAAACAGTCACAAGTAGCTACTAGCTATTAAAAAGGACAGTGCAAGTAAAGGCTCAAAACTGTAAAAATGAGGAACAGAATAACCGGAATCTTCTCTGAGGCTGTGGACAGCAACAGATATCCAAATCCAACCACAAATGTTAACAGGTCAAAAAGTCAACAAGAAACATAAACTCTAAAACATATGTTATTTGCTTACCTCCTTTAGGTTGTTTATTTGTTGAATATAACTAGTCTGTGCCGCTTCCAACTGAGTAATATACCAATGCTGATCTCGGCATTTTTGAAAGAAAGTTGGTGAACGCACCTGAAATCTTAAGGAAACAGCTCCTGATGAAAAATGATTCAATATCATCAAACTAGCTGCCATAGTTACCTAGTACTGCTATGATAAGGATAGGGCTAAGTAAATAAATTTTAATAGACAAAAACTTATTCTCTCACAGTATATTCAAGATTCCAGCTCCTGAGGGAGGCTTTCTCTTGATATTGGCTCTGAGGGATGCTCTCTGTCTTTTAAGTTTCTCCTCCCAGGATGATATGGATTGAACAGGGACCCCAAAGTAAGTGGTGTAAATCCTAACTCTATGCCTATGGTTATAATCCCACCTGGAATACATTTATTATAATAATGAAACAAGATTGGGAGAATCTGCTTCTTCAGTCAATCAATTTAAAAATATAAAGAAAAATTTAAAAAGCAAGCAGGTAAACAGAGATGGAGAAAGAGAAATGTTAAGGTATGTGAGGATACGAACTTTAAAATAAAGCTGAGATGGCATTATTCCCCTATGACATAAAAAACTCCCCAGTATCAAACATTTCCTATTACCTTAAAATTACTGTGTCATTCTGCCGATTCAGGTATCCTTCATTTGCAAGTAAATCCAAACGGAAAAATCTATTATAACCCCAGCATTCTCCAACTTCAAAGTCAGATGCAAATTCTCTAATTATATTTTTAGTAGGATCATTGCAGGACTGATGAACCATCTCTACACGATATTCATATCTAAAATTGAAAAAACCCACTTTAATACTGTAAAGTAATAACAAAAGACAAACACACCTAATCATTAAGATCGCTAAGTAATTCCACAAAAAAGAAATTCTCAAAACCCAAAACTACTCTCCTTTCAGAAAGGGTATCGATTCTAAAAATAAGAAGAATATGGTGAAGGGACCATCACTGCATTAATTAACACAATGGCTTTTTTAATTTCAAAATTGCTTTGCTATATTAATTAACTAAACTCAATGTTGTTGAATTGGAACTGACTCATAGCTGACCCTCAAATAGGTTTTCAGATGCTGTAAATCACATGGGGGGAGTCAGTCTTTCTCCCTCAGAGTAACTGGTGGTGGATTTGAACTATCTTCCTTTAGGCTGGCAACCTACCTCTTTTCCAGTAGCCCACCAAAGATCCTTTCCAATTAAGTAAAAATTAACATTTTTATTAAAAAAATTCATTTTTAAGGGAGCTCTAATGGCCTAGTGGCAAGAAGCTGCACTGCAGTTCTGAAGGTGCACTATTCAAATCCACCAGATGCTCCGTTGGAGAAGGAGGAGCAATCTCCTCCTGTGCCAGTCAGATCCGTTTTGACTGTACACACAAAAAATAACAATTTTTTAAAAAAATAATTTTAATGAAAATGTTTATTAAAAATTAAAATAAATCAACATTTGTTTTATTAAAAGTTAACATTACTAAACATTTTTATACAGGAAACACTGGTGGCTACATGATAAGAACTTGTGCTGCTAAACCAAAGGCAAGTGGTTCGAATCCACCAGCAGCTCCACAGGAGATGGGCAATCTCCTTTTGTGCAATTTACTGACTTTGAAAACCTGGTGGAGGGCCAATTGTGGGTCAGTTCCTACTCAATGGTACACAACAAATACAAACATTTTTATACATATAAATTGTACATATAAAATCACATGTATAGTCACTATCCAATCATATCTACCATGTTTTTATCACAGTAAAACCTTAAAAATACATATTAAAATTGGAAGTGTTTTTCTATAATGTTCCAAGTTGTAATAAAAGTTTATTCTGTATTTAAAAATTCAAATCTTAAAAATTTTTAATTATGTATAAGCATGTATTAGAAAAGGCACTGAATTTTCATTTACAGAAAAATTTCAAGTCTAGTTTTAATTTATCTTTATAAACAAATCACTGTCATTACAAGAAGGTGACAAAAGAGGTAATTAGAAGGAATCTTCAGAAATAACCATAAAGCTTCTCTTTTTTTTGGTGAGGATGTATTTTCATAAAAAAAAAAAAAAACACCATAAAATTTAATCTGCTATTACCATGGACAAAATGAAACAAAATAAAAATAGCTCTATATTTAGAAATTTAGAGTTCTGGTGGCCTAATGGTAAGAATCTGCACTGCAATACCAAAAGCATGCAGTTCATATCCACCAGCTGCTCTGCAGGAGGATGGGCAATCTCCTCCTGGGTGATTACTGCCTCTGAAAACCTGCTGGAGGGTCAGCTATGGGTCAGTTCTCACTCAATGGTATACATCAACATCATATTTAGAAACATTAGATAAAGTGCTAACTGTAAAAATATGTTTGCATTATCTCTGGTATTTCTGGAGAAATACTATAAAACCTAACCAGTACAAAAGTTGTTTAAAAGTTAGCTTAGAATTTGTGGAACCAAGTGATAAACTCTGTAGAAAGACAGAAAGGATTTCCAGAGTGGGCTTGAACATTTTAGACCATGATTAGCATTTAAATATTATCTGATACATATATATACAATCATATAATAAAACCTTCTTAGTTCTATATAACCAAACAACCCTGAGGGAACGAGATGCTGGGCCTGGGATTTCAGGGAATATAAAGGTCAACTAGCAGGAACAGTCGACAAAGAAAAGAATGTGACTCAGATCTTAAAAGCTTGTGACCTGTCATGAAGTACTATTGATCTCTCCCTTTCTGGGGCAAAAAATAGCAAAGAAAAGAAAATACTGGGAGTGAAAAGGACTAATGGAGTATGTGAACTTCAGTCTTCATAATGCTGATATTAGAAGAACAAGATGGTGCCTGGCTATCACTGCTGATCACACCCCAATTAGGACCACAGAAGGTCCTAGACAGAATGGAAGAAAAATATATAACAGAATTAAAAAACAAACACACACACACACACATACATATATATAAAAAACAGAATTCAAATTAGTAAAAAAGAATTACCAGAATTATTAGTTTGATGTAGATTGGTGGGAACCCCAAGAATGTCCCCCTCAGATACCCTTCAAGCCTGAAACCGCACTATTAGGTCAAACTATTGTTAGGCAGGCCTGTAGAATGAATAAAAACACTTACAAGAAATGTGTTCCCTAGAACAATCAAGTACATGGAATTAAAAGGAACACCAGGCAAACTGAAACTGGGAACCCGAAGTGGAAATGGGGAAGAGAGTTGACACACTATAGGGATAGCAACCAATGTCTCAGAACAGTCTGTGTATAAATTGCTTTGTAAACTTTTACCTTTGTAAAAATTCACCCCACAACCAAAGAATGAATTAAACGAAATATGGCACATACACATAACCATATATTAGTCAACCAAAAAAAAAAACACGGAAATATAAAATCTTGAGGCCTATGAGTGAATCTTGAAAGCATTCTGGTAAGTAAATTAAAGAACAAATATTGTTATGACCTCACATATAAAAGGTAAATGTATACAGTCCAAAGTTTATTAGTGGTTACCAGGGAACACTGAAAGGGTTAACAGTGATGGAGGAAAAGCTCAATGATATTAAGTTGTATATCCAAGTATTTTAACTACTGCCAATAAGCTACATACCTGTAAAAAAGCTGAACTGGCATAAGCTATGTGACAGATTTATTTACAAGAAAACAAAAAAGTAGCTGCTGAGCTGCTTATATACAACCAAACACCTCGTAAGATTTTGTTCTTTAACATGGAGGTTTAGGATTGCAGTTTCAAGGAATAGAAAAACTGGCATGATACCATGCTTAGTGCTTCGGTTCTACCACCTACTTCCTTACATACTGACTGGGGTCTTAACAGCTTGCAGGCGATCATCCCAGGCATGGCAATTGGTTTTTATTTGCCTGGAGCCACAGGAAAAGGAGAGTCAAGAATGGGAGGGTATATAGAACATGACCGATCGGATAGCTGTGCCTCTTTGAACAGCTGACTCCTTTGCCATGATGGAAGAACTGGATGGTGCTCAGCTACCATGACTGAACACTCTGGTCAAAGATTCTAAAGAGGAATTCTGATCAAAGGGGAGAAACTGCAAAACAGGATTTTAAATTTTGGGGATTCCAGGCTTTCTAGAGCCATAGACTGACTGGATGAACGTCCTTAAATGTACTGCCCTGATCATTTTTTAACTTTAAACCAAATATATCCCCTGGAATCTTCTTAAAGCCAACAGTTAACTAGTAAAAAATGTTTGCCTTGAGTATTATGCTCTTTTAAAAACTACAGGGTATTAAAGTGACAAGAGCAACTCAAAGACTATTAACAAGCTTAGAGGGCAGGAAATTTCTGTTAATGAATAAGGAACAAATTAAAAAAAACAAAGTGGGAATGGTTATACAGCTCTAAGAATGTAATCAATGTCAGTGGATTTTTGTAAACTGCGTGGGTGTCTGCTTTGTTGTGTACACATAAAAAAATTTTACAGAGAAATATGAGTAATAATAATATTGACAAACTAGGAAAATGTAACCAATGTCAATGATATCTGTCTCTCACTGCCAACAAGCTGGAACTAACTCATAGGTGACTCTTCAGCATGATTTTAGAAACTGTAAATTGCACAGGGAAGATGGCCCATTTTTCTTCCTTGGAGTCGCTGGTGCATTAGAAACTGGCAGAGGGACTGCTTTTCAGTTAGCAGTCCAGTTCTCTCCCACTAGAGCTCTCTGAACAGTATATATATTGTTAACGAAGCATCTAATTTGCTGTGCAAGCTTTCGCCAAGAAAAAAGTATAATAATTTATCCCACTGATAATAGTAGGACAAGTGAAAAGAAAAAAACAAAAATAAAAAAAAAATCACAATCCAGAAGCCTCCACAGGACACTTTAATAATGGGTTAATTACAACTTATAGTCACATAAAGAAAATAGTAGACCTTAACCATTACTCAAAAGAACAGCACTAACATGCATATGAAAAGATCTCTATATTAATAAAAAGTGGAATGCTGAAAAACAGTTTATAGGTTTAATTCTATTTTTAAAAAACTGTAACATATGCATGTAATAATTCACCAACATATCTTCAGGAAGGATACATAAGAAATGTTACAATGATTAGTTTGAAAAGAAAAAAAAAATAAAAAAGGAAAATAAATGTGTAAAACAAGTTTCCTTTGGAAGTCAATGCCCTACATCCCTGGAACCTACGAAAATGTTAGACTGCATGGCAAAGTGACTTTAGAGTTATGGACTTTATTAGAGGGACATTATCTTCTTGAAGGAAGAGAGTTTTTCTCAGCTACAAGACAGATTTTTTTTCAAAGGAAAGTCAGGATATTTCAAAGAGGAAAATGAGCTCATATGTGACTGCTGAAGGGCAGTACAAAAATGGCTAATGAGAGCCACAGAGGAGCTAAGGTGAGCCTGCAGTTAACAAAGAAACAGGGACCTATGGGCCTACAAGGGAAATACAAGGGATTCAGCCAACACCACAAAGGAGCTTGGAGGCAGATTCTTCCTAGTCTCCCTGAAACGCTGATTCTGATCTTTTGAAACACAAAGGAGATAACTCAATGATGTCAATTTTGTCTTTTTAACTACAAAAGAATGGGATGACATATTTGTGGTGCTTAAAAGTTTGTGGCAGTTTCTTACAGTAATAAAGATCTTATACAGATCCTATCACTGAATTTGGTCTCTTCTGGAGAACTTAAACCTTAACCTAAATTTTCAAAGATTTCATACTTAGGTCTCTAAGTCAGGACTTCCATCAATTTACATTCCTTCCATTAA